TCCTTGACTGCTAACCAGAAGGATGATGGTTCAAACCCACCAGCCACTCCTTGGAAGGAAGGTTGGGCAATCTACTTCCGTAGTGATACCACCTCGGAAACCCAAGGCGGGTCGTTATGAGTTGGGTCCAACTCGATGGCACATAACAACAACAAATAGAGCTAGATGGCATGTTCCTTATAATCTTTGACACTGAGGAATCTAGCATTACAGTTCTGGAGTTGTCCTCCCCCGCTCCCCAAGAAAGTCACTTGCAACCTGCACGTATACCCAAGATTTATGTGACAGTTCCAGATTAACAAGCCAAGACAGTCTGGAATTTCTTCTGGGAGGGCTTCCTTCCTGCTATGTTTGTTTCTTTGCAATCTTCTTGGAGCCAGGAAGGCCAGCATTGGTGTTTGCCTGTGCTGCAATGCTCTCCTTCCCCTTGCCAGGTTTCTGTGCTGCTGTCTGATATTCATTTCTTCATTGCTTTTGGAGCAATAGCAAGCAAAGCATGAGCCTGTGGCTCAAAGAATATAAAGCAGGAAATGAACAAGGCACTGAAGCAGTGTGGAAAGTAATATGGGCATTGGCTTTGAAGCCATGCAGAGTGCTTTACTCTTCCACCCACATTGCTCTGGAGTTTTGCACCACCTGGTATGATTTCTTGTACATAGGAAGTGCTACCAAGCACCTATTTACTGAATGAATGGGTGAAAGAAGTTGAAGATAACCTTAGCATTTCTCCAGTAAAAAATCTAGCCCAAACTTCCCTGTCAGCCAGAGATTTCAGAATTTGAATGTGTATTAGAATCACCTGGGTACCTTGTTAATCTTTAACAGTTAGATGCAGAGTCTCTAGCTCTATTCCCAGAGAATCCCCAGCTTGAACATCTTCCTGAGGTGATTGAGCTATAGGTGGTCCAGGAACCACTCTGGGATCTTCCTTATGTTCCATAAATATAGTGACAATAGTCTTTGGACTCTCACTCCTTTCACATTCTTACTCTTATATGGTATTTCCTTGGTTGTTGTTGTTGATATGTGCCCTGAAGTCGGACCAGACTCATAGCGACCCCACTTTGGGTTGCCGAGGCAGTATCACTATGGAAGTAGATTGCCCAACCTTCCTTCTGAGGAGTGGCTGGTAGGTTTGAACCACCAGCCTTCTGGTTAGCAGTCAAGTGCCTTAGGCACTATGCTACCAGAGCTCCTCAGATTCTTGTCTTTTGGAAAAATAATTCTAATATTTTAAGGGTCAATATGGATTAGCTTTTGAGTAATGTTCATTCTTTAAGAATTTACTGAGTAACAATTGTGCACAGAGCCAGGTTTAGGTGTTTTCCAAACAAAAGTCTGCATCTGTTGGCCACCAGAGCAGTAATAGAAACATTAGCATTTACAATAGCATTGCAAACAGGTACCCCTAATTTATTGTCCCACAAAAGTTGGTTTACAAGTCTTTCTTCTCCCAAGAGGCACACAGGTAATAAAGCAAGTGAAATCAGCATTTTTTATGCCTGGCATAAATTGTTATTTGTTTTGGGTGAGTTAGCTATTTACCAGGCAGTTTTACAATTTGTAGCATCTTGCTCACTGGATCTTAAACTGCCTTACACAAATCCATTCATTAAGCCACTAAATGTCCTTATAAGATCAGAGTAAGTGGTACTTAGTTTGGCGGGTGGGCAAACTAATCTTTAAATAAGTTAACTATTCCAATGTTGGGGTGAGGGCTGATAGTCCCTTGTTTTTTTTCTTCTGATAGTACACAATTTCTCATCCTTACACTACCGGTCTTGGATCCTATAAGGGAATCCTTTATTGTTTTATTATTTCTATATATTCTGACTGAAAAAACAAAACAAAACAAAACAAAAAAGCCACAGGCTGTGAAGTGATTTATAGTATTCAAATGCATATAGAAAGGATGATTAAATTAAAAAGACAGATCCAAAACCTATTAGGAGAAATGGACAGAGATGCTTGGCACCCAAAGGGGTAATTCACTGCAATCAAACATGATATTTATTTTGAAGTTTTTGTGAAATCAAGACAAAATGGTAAATACATCAAGTTGTGTAATTCTCGTTATCTAGTAAAGGAAGGCTACACATTTGACAGGATGAGAATATTTTTTTCCTGTTCCTGAATTTTAGGAGAAATTATCATAATTGACAATATCTGGCTATCATTTACAAAAGATATAGAAACATTTTGAAAATTTACATTTCCTTTATCAGTCTTGGAAACCCAAGGAGGGGTTGCTATGAGTCGGGTCTGAATCGATGGCACATAACAACAAACACCAACAACATATCAGTCTTTTAAGAGATCATGGGCATAATATTGAATTGTAATTCAGTGAGGACATTACTTTATAAAGTAATGATTTTAATAATTGAGTATCTGTATGTACCTAGGACTTCAAGTACAGGATCTCAGTGGATTCTCAATATGACCTTGTGAAGGAGGTTTTGGTGAATATATTTTACAGAGAAAACTATGAAGGCTCAAAGACATTAAATATTAGGCCCAAGGTCACATAGCGAAAGTGGCAGATTAAGGATTAGCACTTGGTCTAATGACTCCAAGTTCAGTGCTCTTTCCACTAATGACTCCAAGTTCAGTGCTCTTTCCACTACAGTTTGGGAATCTAGTATGTTATAAGAAGAGAGTTTTTAGAAACCCACAGCAGAGATTCTTAACCAGGGATGATTTTGCCTCTCAGGGGACATTTAGCAATGCCTGAGACATTTTTGTTTGTCACAGTATGAGAGGGGAGTGCTACTAGCATTCAGTTGGTGAACAGCCCACAATGCACAGAACAGTTCCCCTTCCCCAACAAAGATTTATCCAGCCCAAAATGTCAATAATGTTGAGGTTGAGAAACTTTGCTTTAAGGGATGATTAATTGCATTGCTTTTACACTGTATCCCCCACCATCAGAGTTCTTAAGCAAGTTTTGGCCCTGCTGAAGTACAGTCAATTCAAGGTTGCATTATCTGGCTTAAAGTGCCAATTTTGTGTTGTAGATTAAAGAAAATCCCTTATGCTTCAGATGCCAGATATACAGTTTGAAAAATTATTATCTGTTATAAGAATGTAGGAGCTGGTAATATATTATCATCAGGCAGGTCATTTCCTTTCTCCAGAGATGCAACTGTGCCATTTTTTTTTCCTTAAAAACAAACTTTTAATCTATTCAAACCGTGAGATTAATATTTACAGGGAGCCCCAGAATCTGTACCATAAAGCTAGAAATTTTGAAACACTATTAGCTAATCCTTCACTGTTTTTTTTTTTTTATTTTTATCCTTTCTATCTAAAAAAATAGGAGTTGCCCTTTTTGATCATAAAAGATCTATAAGATGAGTAGTTTTTGAATAGAACTGCATCCTGGTGGGTCCACAGGGTTGAGTTAGCTGCATCACCTAATTTGAAGGAGCTGAGTTTGTTAGCCTATTGAAGATTTTCATTTTAGTACAATTGATGCTCAGTTGTCCTTTCTGAAAATAATTAGCAAACAGGTCAATGCTTCACTCTCTCCTACTCTTTATTTTCTTATAATTATGGCTTTCCAATTACTGCCCTCTTGATCTTTTTCTTTTCATATTCAGGGCAGGAAGCATTCCACATCCAGGTTGGTCATATATTTAAAAATCTCTGGTGATTCCTCTTGACCAAGGGTGGAGAGTAACAATGTGTCCATTGTGTCCATGGCATAACTCTCCACCGTATATATTGGATATTCATATCGAGCCCCAGAGAGTCAGGCCCATGGGTGTTCAAGGTGGAGCAGACGAAGTGAATTTATAGTGTGTTCGCCTCAGGGTTTCCTTTTCCAGAGGTATAGTGGATCTACTGGGGCTTGTCCTAATTCACAAGCATGTCACTGTATCTTGTTGACACAACACATTTTCTTGAGTGTGCCTTTGCTACTTCCTCACTGACTAGGGAATGGATTCAACCATTCACTAGCTATTTCAGATACATAATTTATGGTCCATGGTGTAGCACAGCTGCAGAGTCTGTCAGAACATACAGAGGACTAGAATAGCAGGTTGGTCCTCTATGGATGTGCCTTATGTATTATTCTCTATTCTGTGAGGCGTATGGGGTTCTTGGGTAGCATACTTAGTGTATTGTGTAGTGGTTAATTTAGAAAAAAAAATGCCAAAACCAAATATTTGCCCATAAACTTTTGAGCTGAAAATTTCCACTTTCTTAGCATAACTACTCCTGTAGTTATATTGAGGCTCACCGTCTGCTTCTCACTTCGATTTTACCTTCCATTCACTAAGGCTCTCCTTTTCTCAGCTTTCCCTTTCCTCTTTTTCTTTGAATCTTTCTCCGTTAAAATGGACTTGGGTTATCTGATCCTGATGTCATTTCTATTTTAATTGCACCACCTCAATTTCTGTCATTTTCCAGTTGATTAGTAGCCATCTTTGGAGAGGCAATATAGCATAGTGGTTACAGGGCCAGGCTCTGGAGATAGATCGCCTGGGTTTGGTCCTAGATCGGCCACATTTTACCAGCTTTGTGGCTGTGAGCCAGTCATTTAATTTCCTTGTGCCTTAGATTTTCATTTGTAAGTGGGAATATCAATAACACCTTTTTCTTAAGGAATTGTGATGGTTTTAAGAAAAATAATTCATGTGAAGCACTTAGAACAGTGCTTCACATCTAGTAATCCCTCAGTAGACATTAGCTATAGTTATTTTCTTTATATTATATAAGAAGAGAAAATTACTTCTGAAATTAGAACGTTACTTACAGGTGATTCTTTCAGATTTATAGCTTCTTCCACCTTACCTGTAGTAATAGAGGATAAGTGAGTAATAGAGGATAAGTGAGGGAACGTATTCACTGAATCCACACCCAACAGTGGGAACCTCTCTGCAATGCTGAGTTCCATTATCTATAAATGGGCATTTCTCTTCCTCTTACCCCTACCTTGTTAGACAATCAAACTGACATCATTCTGGCTCTGAAAGAATTTTTTTTAAATCACATCTATCACAGTTGTAAATTGTCATTCTTTTTTCAACCCAGCAGCTCTACCTTCAAGGACTTAGAGGGCAACAGCCTGAAGGATAGCGGACATGAGGAGAGTGACCAGACTGACAGTGAACATGATGTCCAGCGGAGCCTGTATTGTGATACTGCTGTCAATGATGTGCTGAACACCAGCGTGACCTCCATGGGATCTCAAATGCCTGATCATGGTAAGGGCTGGTTAAATGTGGGTTGCAGCAGTGGGCTCCAAGAAACCAGAATGTTTGCAGGCACAGTGAAATGAGTGTATTATTAATGTGTCCATTGAGCTAACATCAGAGCAGCATGCACAGGTTTTTGAGATGTCCTGACAGCTAGCCAGATTCTTCTTAACCCTCCTTGAATGGATCCCCCAGGAATGTGTAATGTTGAAGCATATTAAAAGCTGACTGCATATACATATTGCATACATTGTCCTCAGTAATAACTGTACTGAGCACATAAGAAAAGAGCAGATGCCTTCTCACTAGGAATAAGTGCTTCTTTTTGCTTTACTATGTGAATTCAACTGATCGATAGATTTACAGAGAATATAGCACTGATGAGACCAAACGAGTGGGTCTGATTTCATATTAGGCTTGTTAGCTTTGCCCAGAGAGATGCTCTCTTCTCTGACTTCAGATTGAATACTCTTTACTAAGGATAGAAAGTACCAAAACCTCCACTTTTGTCCATGAAGCTGCTATATAAACTCTCTTTAGCTACCACATAAATCCATGCCATTGGTCTTAGGAAGGTCTAGGGTAAGGGAATATGGTACTCTCAGTGAAAAAATTCCAATATTGGGAAAAGAAAAACACCTCAAAGCTCATGTTGGGAGCAGCATCCTCATGTATGAAGAAGAGACTATTTTTGTGAATTCAGCCAGACATACTTCAGCAAGAGGAGCTATTTGAAACTGTGCTAGGCATAAACCAGGGTATAAAAACATTAGCAGAGTTCAGCTAAGGCAGAAATGTTCAGATGGACTTGGGCACAGATGTCATTTTCAATGTTTTACTGATGCAACTGTGCTATGCAAACAGCCTGTCCTTTTCAATTAAGTATGAATTCAGCTTGGTGTTTAGGCTCAGTGAAGCTTCAGAATGCTTGGCTATGTCTTGAGAGAAGCAAGACTCAAGCTCAGCTGGAAGCCCCACTGCTAAAAGACTTAAAGATGAGAAAACAAAGTATGGTGATTATGTGCTGGTCTTCAGCTGTTTCATTTCACTGTAAACATCATTAAATGCTTTTGTTTTGGTTTTGTAAATGAATCTGATGGAAAAAAAATGCATGATCTACAAAACAAAATGTTTTCCATAGGAAAAAAATTAGTCACTGTAGAGTCTATTAAATTATCTAATCCACCCCCTCCCCATCAAACCCAAGTGTCAAAGTCTATAATATGTAGAGGTCACTACCAATTGTGCGCTGCTGCCTTCTCTAATTGGTGAGTGGTGACATCCACAGAGATAATACGCTTTCCGGGCAACCTTACTATGACTAAAGATGAAAGAAAAAATCAAACATTTATATAACTGCTACAGAGGCAATTTAATTCTCAGAGAATTAGGAGTGTGTCACAGGATACAGACTGATATGTATCATTTACTAGTCGTGTATCTCAAAGAAACACTTTTTCATTTCTATTGGAAAGGGTTTTAGTTAGATGTTCTCTAAAATGAAATGACTCTAGGAAAGGAAATAGTCATAATTGATTTCCACTTTAGGCCTGGCTAGAACAACATCTGTTTTAATTATTTTGTTACATTTTTCTAGGAAAACATTATCAGTGGACTGCAGCTAAATTTTCTGAGGGAGTGTTTCTTATAAATGGGGCATATTTAATCCATATATAGACACATGCATATACTATGTAGATTGGATAATAGTGAATATTCTAAAGCAAATGTGTGACAATATACCAAGACTCTCCTACATATAAGATGGAAAATATATATATACACACACACACACATATACATATATATGCATATACATACATATATACATACATATTTACACACACACACACACACACACATATATACACTCACTGCCATTGACTCATTTCCAACTCATAGTGATTACCATTGGCTTTCCAAGGCTGTAAATCTTTACAGAAGCAGACTGCCTCATCTTTCTTCTGCAGTGTAGCTGGTGAGTTTGAACTACCAACATTTTGATTAGCAGCTAAATGCCTTAACCTTAGCTACACTACCAGACCTCCTTAATATATACAAATATATGTATACATACACATATATATATGTGTGTGTATAGATACATTTTTCCTTGCTATTCCATTTTGGCAACACTTTCACATTTTGTTTCTCAATGTTCCCTTTGCATGCATGTATCTTCAGTTTTTCATTGTTCCAGCAGTGGCTAAACCTTGAACAAACCCTTGGGATTGTTCTTTTTAACTTGGATGAGCCTTTAAAAGTTTAGGTAAAAAGAGAATTCAGGTCTTATTTATATCTCAGGTTCTATCTTGTGATAGTCCATTATTTTTGAAGCTTTTCATAATGCTATTCTTTTAATTGTGGTGTCCCAAGTTAACTGGGTTTGCCACACAGATTGAGTCACCAGTTCATTTGGGTTGATTACAGCTACCTCAAACAACAGCAGCAATTTCAGTAATTAACATCATTGTTAAACCTGCATTCACATAATCTATGTATCTCATTTTATCTTAAGGCATAGTGGCTGAAAGGCAATCACTGGATGAGTCTACCTTGTATTCCTGGCTTCATAACCATTTTAATTATATTCTTTCCAGAGCAATATAGTATTGTTGCTTCAGAGGACTACCGTTTTTAAAGGTGGGGAGGAAAATTAGAATATGCTTTTTTTAAAAAAAAATTATTTTGATTTGAGTGGAAGTTTCCAGAGCAAATTGGTTTTCCATTCAACCATTCATACACCTTTTGTTTTGTGACACTGATTGCAATCCCCACAATGTAACAGCACTCTGCCCACTTCCTCCCTGTGTTTCCCATTTCCATTTGTCCTTCTTTCTCCTTTCTTCCTGCCTTCTGACTTTTATCCTTGGGCAGAAGCTGCTCCTTTGATGTCCTATGGCCGTCTGTTCAGACCTTAATTGAAAGTCTCAGGGATTTCTAGAGGAAAAAAGCAAAAACTCCCAAGTCTCTTTGGTTCATTGACACTCTGATAGGCATCTTAAACTCAAGCATCCTGAAATTCTGAGGGTTCCAGTGCTGAACTCTTCCTGGGGTTTGGATGGGTATATCTGAAGAAGAATGAGGGTTATATTGTACTCCCCAGACCAAATTTAATCCTGCTAATGTTTCTTCTTGTCCTGTTAATACCACTTCAAAGTTGGGCCAAATGTCTCTCATACCTTTGTTACCTTGAATTCCATGTCTGTAGCTCTCTCTGTGATGTTTGTGATTTGGATATTAGTGTAGCATCTTTCTTTGTACATATGCAGTCTCTTTATTGATGGGGAATCTCAGAATTTTTAAAATAGAGAAAATTTTATGCATCTGTTAACTTTTTTCCTTGAGCTGGAATGATTTGTTCAGTGAACTGATATTGTATTGCCAGTGTTTGAGGAAAAAGGACACACTGCATTTGCTCTTCATTTTCTGAGAATCACCTGGGCTCTGTGCTTCTTCACACTGCCAAATGTTCCTCTGGGATTTTTTCTTATAACTTTATTAAAACAAATGAATGCCCAGTGTAAATGTCAAAGATGCTCCCTGACTCTCAGAGTATAAGCCCAGTCTCAATTTTCACTAACTCTTTCCCTCAACCTCTCTGAGAACATTTGTAGAAATGGGGATCCAGAATCACTGTATTCGAACCAAACCAAAGCCAAACCCAACCCACTGCCATTGAGTCAATTCCGACTCATAGTGACCTTCTAAGGCAGGGTACAATTGCCTGTGGGGTTTCCTAGGCTGTAAATATTTATGGAAGTAGACTTCTTCATCTTTCTCCTGTGGAGCAGCTGCTGGGTTCGAATTGCCTACCTTTGGGTTAGCAGCCCAATGCTTTTTAACCACTGAGCCACCAGAGCTCCTTGTATTCAAACAGAGAAGGAGAATATTTAGAAGGCTTTTGCACTCAAAGGGCAAAAGTCAGATGTGTAGATACTGGAGAGTTTGGATTATGTTGTGATTGCCCCAACCAAACACATTCATATGCTGGGTCAGGATGGAGACAGGAGGGAATGACAAGAATCTCTGCTTTCTGGATTACTGTCAATCCTGATATCATTCTCTACATGCCTAAGACTAGGTCAGTGGCTTGATGAACTGGCTGAGCTGAATTTCCTGGTTGGCTGGTGACTGAATTTCAAATCTACTTGTCATCCATAGTGCCCATAATCTATTGTGTTTCAGTTTGTTCTCAGCCCTTGTTATCATGGCTGCCCAGAAAAAGTGATGGGTAATTCTTCAACCTGTGCTTTCCATTGCTTAGGATCTCTGGTGGAGTAGTCCTTAAGGCATTTGACTGCTAACCAGAAGGCTGCTTGTTCAAACCCCCCAGCGGCTCCTCAGAAGATGAGGCAATCTACTTCCATAAAGATTTACTGCCTTGGAAACTCAGTGGGGGTTGCTATGAGTCAGAATTGACTTGATGGCAGCAGGTTTTTGGTTTTCCATTGCTTATTTATTTATTTTTTATGTGTGTGTGTGTGGGGACACTTTTTTTATAGCTCTCAGAGTGCCTCAAGAACAAGTAAGTATGGACAACTTGGCAAAATTTACCACCTGATTTGGTTGCTGAGGTGATTTGGTGCTGAGCTTGGGAGTCACACTCGTCTTTTAACCAATGCCTTCCTTCCCTGAGTTTGAGTTATTTGGTGCAATTACCACCATCTGGTAGGGACAAACATTTTTTCCTAATGGAATTCCTGCAGACCGTTGCTAAGAAGAGTAATTGGTAAATTGTTGTTGTTGTTATGTGCTGTTGAGTCGGACCTGACTCATAGTGACCCCTCCTTGGGTTTCTGAGGCAGTATCACTACAGAAGTAGATTGCCCAACCTTCCTTCCGAGAAGTGGCTGGTGGGTTTGAACTGCCAGCCTTCCGATTAGCATTCAAAAATGCCAGAAGCTCACATGGTTGTTATTTGACTGAGGGTACTGGACTTGAATCTCTTCCTGTCAGGGTTATCTCTGGGTTGAGCAGTGCTGGAGTTAATAGGCTTCTGGCTCCTT